ATAATAATAATAATAATAATACCAAAAGAAAATAGCACGATAAGCTATACAATAATTTGAAAGTCTTTTATCAAGTTGGTAAGTCTTACACGACAATCTTTTTAAAAAAATTGGCCGCTGTTTGGATTTCATTAAAATTTTAATATATTTTTCTTTCTTCTTTTCAATCATACATTCTTTAATAAAATAATATTATACGTAAATTTAAAAATTTTCCTTCTTTTTTAAATACACATTCTCCAAAAAATTATTATCCCAAAATACATTTTTTTCAGATTATCATTAAAATGGAGCCCAATCAACGTCTTAGTGCGTGTTCGGTCATGCTTAAAATTCAATTAAAATTGAAAATATAGTCGTTATTGGATGTCACTCGTCTAATAAAAGTCAACAATAATGACTAATTTTTTAATTTTAATCTGATTTTAATCTCTATCGAACAAGTCATTAGTCTTGTAATGTTTATTCAATTATTTAGGACGTGTTTGAGCTGCATTATTTTAGAAGAATATATTTTGGAATAATAGATTAATGGAGAATGTATGGTTGAAAAAGAAGGAAAATTTATTAATGTGATGAAAAATGCGTGGTTGAAAATGAATAGAAAAATGAGAATGAAAATGTTAATGTGGCTCAAACAGGAACTTAATATCTTGACATACCAACTAATTAACTAAATAAAAAAAATATTTCATCTACCCAGGCCAAATGTAATAAATTATGGGTTATGCTATATGTACATAATTTTTATACCGAATCTTTTACACCCCACTCACATTAGGAGGTGGGGACACATGGGGCCAACGCCTAATGTGAGAGGGGGGACACCATTCGATACCCCACATTCGGTACATTTGGCATTCGCCATAAATTATATTACCACAGTAGTTTCAAACAATTATTTAACTCAGATTTCAATATCCAACTGCACCAATTGAGGAGAAATATATATATATAAATGATGGGTGATGTGTAATTCATCAAAATGAATAGAAGAATGAAAATGAAAATGAAAATGTCAATGTGGCTCAAACAGAAGCTTAATATCTTGACATACCAACTAATTAACTAAATAAAAAAAATATTTCATCTGCCCAGCCCAAATGTAATAAATTATAGAATAATGCTATGTATACACCTTGTGGTGTACACAATGCATTATTACAAGCAATTATATTACTACAGTAGTTTCAAACAATTATTTAACTCAGATTTCAATATCCAACTGCACCAATTGAGGAGAATAAATATAAATGATGGGTGATGTGTAATTCATCGGGTTAATACCTCATATAGTCACTGAACTTGTACAAAAATTCCTAGGAGGTCACTGAACTTCAAATTTCCTCTAAATAATCACCAAACTTTGTAAATTTTGACCCAATCTATCACCAACCTCAAAATCAAACAATTTTTGATGATGTGTAACTGACGTGGCGCATGTGTGTACAATATATTGGCCAAATAAGCAAAATATGATGAGGTGGACTCTTCTCACTCAAACCCACCTCTCTCAAACTGACCGAAACATGATACCACCATAGCCACCAACTATGATACCTCAAACCACCAATTCCGACCACCTAGACCGCCGGATACCATCATAGACGGCATCACCTCACTCCCCCCAACATCTTCCACCGAATCAGTCACAAAATAAAGCCAAAATCAGCCTACTCACGCACGCTATCTTGGCCGGAATCCCAACCTCCGGCGACATCTACGGTCGCGCACCACCACAGCCAGGTAGCTCTCGAATAGGTGACCTCAAATATGGCTTCACCTCAACCAAAACAATGTCCAATCAATCTGCACTTGCCCATGAACCTTCGACAGTGGCGCCTCCATTTTTTGTAAAAACCGTCTCCTTCAATTCCAACCTTGAACTTCATTGAACCTACAAATTGGCATCAACCGATCCAACAACAGGCCCAAACGATGATGGGTATGAATTCAATTGCACCAATTATCCCCCAAGTCGCTCCAATTTCTGGATTGGAACTTGCAAATAGCGTGAATTCAATTTCTGTTTTGGCTTGATTTTGTCACTGATTCCGGTGGGTTTGTGATCGGTGGTACTGTGGATGATGTTGGGGGAAGTAGGCTGATGCTGTCTATGGTGGTATCCGGCCATTTAGTCTGCAGGAAATGTGTGGTTTGAGGTGGTATCCAGTTTCGATTTCGGTGGGTTTGAGAGAGAAAGAGTCCACCTCATCAATTTTTGCTTATTTGGCTAATACATTGTACACACATGTGCCACGTCAGTTACACATCATCAAAAATTGTTTAATTTTCAGGTTGGTGATGGATTGGGTCAAAATTTACAATGTTCGGTGATTATTTAGGGAAAATTTGAAGTTCAGTGACCTCCTAGGAATTTTTGTATAAGTTCAGTGACTATATGGGGTATTAACTC